TGAAAAACCTCCGCTATCTTTGATCTTGAAATTTGAAAAGAAATCAGAATTCGCTTCAAAATTAATGAAACAAAACCAGTAAAATGCAGCCGATTCAATAAAACTGGAAATATAACCACAATCTCTTTTTTTTTTAAATTAAAATATCAATACCGTTAACGTCCTTCAACCAAAATTAATACCTGCTGGATTAGTCTGGAAAAGTCAGCAGTTTTCATGTTTTCTCCATCAATGCCGGCTGACAAAACATTTATATTAGAAAAGATACCAGGCGAATGTGAAAGCGTTGACGGCAGTTTAAGTAGTGTAACACCTCCTGTGGTAGGCACCGAGATCCCGTCATTCAAAGCACTCTAAAAAAGAAATACGTGACAAAGAAAACCAAGATTGGTTGGAATGTGGTTAAAGAATTTTATACTTATTCCACCAACAAAAAATATAACAGTTCCTCTTACCTGGTCATATAAATTCTGACATCCTTGACTAAGACGTCGATTAGCCTCCCTAAATTTCATGTCAAATGGATTTACAGAGATAACTTTCTGCATTAATTCTGCTGTAGATGGGAAATCACCTGTAAAATACCCATTATTTAGAAGGTAGTAAATAAGTCATAAAAGGAGAAAAGTAAGACTCGAAAACATTTTAAAAATGTCAAAATATTCAAAATTTCAACTTGTGTAAAGAAAAATCAAAAAAGACGTTGTTAACAAAACCTATATAACTGCACTTTCGTTTGCATTATACTAAAGCAAAAGCTATCAGACTAAAAAGTGTGATATACAAACCTGGTATTGTAGCAGAACTGGGATTCACCAACGGGTTTAACTGTGGCGTTTCAAGAGTTTCTCTCTCACTCATATTTTCAACTTTTTCCAATTTCATGAGCTGAATCATAAACTGGCTTTTTTTCTTCATAACAAGCTTCTCAAGAAAACCCGGTAATAAAATAGCCCTCGAAAAACCATCAAATAAAAACTAACCATAGTGCCAGTTGGAGAGATGATCACATTACTGCTGGTAGAGTTTGTCACCACAGACATAAGCTTTAAGACGACTCAATCTCTACACTCTAAAAGTCGAAAACGCAATTACTCGTTTGAAACAAAGAAACAACTACTTGTAGAACAAGCGTAACGAAACCAAAAATTTATAAGGGTTGGCAGATAACCGATGACTGTGGTGGCACGAGACTATCAGCGAAATGAATACTCTTGCTGAACAGCCAAAAGCTGCCAAAAATCAAACGCATTCCAATTCATTAATTTAAGCAGAAATTTCAGTGAAAATCCCAAATGACTATTACATCAAAAAAAAAATATTTAATAACAGTCAAGTGATAGTCCTTCTAAACGTCCCTACTCCGACCTACTGATAACTTTCAAGGAAAGATTAAATAATTTTGAAGCATCATGAGCCTCAATAATAACGACCTGTAACAAACTATTTAGCCGCATTCCTAGCCTCCACCACTTAATGACCTATTTCGAAAAAAACACAGTAAATATGATCCAAAAGAATTAACCTAAATCAGGATGTGAACCATAAAACTATTGTCAAACTTTTTTCGTGTACCATAATACCCAAACTTCTATACACAACTTTTTGATGCCCATAATCATCTAATCAACACAAAATGAAGCAAATTACGGTAACTGAAGTCCAAATACCAGTACTTAAAACAGTAATCACTTGAGAAAACTGCCTTTTGCCTTTCAAAACATTAAATAAAAACGAAGAATAATTAAAAAAGCTTTGAATACGCAATAGACTACAAGTATATCGAACAATGCCACAGAAGGTGAATCAAAAACCAAATACAACTGTCCAGTTGCCGACTAAACAGCAACAAAAATTAAAGGCGAATGTGAAAACAAAGCAGTTTATTCAAGCAAATCCAAATAAGCAACAATAACAACAAAAAGAAATGGAACAACAAAACAAAAGCAATCGACGAAAAGTTTTAACCAAGCACCGAGGCGAATCTTATGAAATAATTACTTCTAGTAACAATTTTAGTCACAACAACGAAACATCTTTCAACACCAAAGCATAACGATAAAGCTTGTAAAATAAACTCCTTCGCACAACTTAAGGACGTGAATTATTATCATCGCTTGGGACACGCACATCATCGATCTTCAGGACCATTCGTACAACCTTAATTGGAAAAGCCTTCTTAGTCTGAATGAAAAATTAAAACCTTCATCCCCCTCAAATGAATTTTACAAAGACAAAATAAAAGAAAAAAAAAGCAATAAGAGGTAAAGAAACCAAAAACCCACACAAAATAAAAACACATTTGTGCTTTTATTCATCAATGTAATAAAGAATATATTACAGTGGTTCAGAAACTACAGTACCTGAGTTGCAAGAGAAATTTGCTCTTTCTTTGAGATCAAAGTCTCGATCACTTTCTGTTGCTTCATATCTGGAAGAAAAAGTAAGAAATTTCTGTGGTTTTGAAGAGGAATTCAAACCTAGACACAGGTTATAAAAAGATCATAATTCACAAAAAAATTGATAAGAAATGTTTAGAAGTTAAGAAATACCGTTGGTGCCAACAAAGAGGCAGTCAACACCGAGCCGGTGGTTCGCCTGCTGGATTTGCTTAGCTTTGAGATCAGTGAGAATGTCAATGGGTGACATGCCCGAATTCTCCGCTAACGCCATTGGAATAGATTCTAATGCATCAGCAAAGGCTCTGAACGCATATTGTTCAACACCTTCAATCTAAAACGTTTAATTCGTACTTTTCCCTATTATCACCAATTACGCAAAATTTTCATCTTGTTGTTTAGTAACAACCATAGTTCTTGAAAAACAATTAGAAAACATGAGCGACTTGCCAGATAAAGAGAGCCATGTAAGTTAAAAATTCAGCAAACCTTGTCTGCTTCCTTTGCTACTTCTATAGAACAACTTATTTCTGCTGCACCACCGCCATAAACGATACGACTATCACGAACCAAATTCCGAACTACACACAATGCATCATGAATAGAGCGCTTTGCTTCTTCGATTATCATTTTGTTGCCTCCCCGTATAAATATTGTTACAGCACGATTGTTTGGACACTGCTCTATGCACAGCATACGATCCTGAGTAATTTAATTCAACAGCCCTATCAGAACAGTTTTCTTCACGAATACTTACAGAAAAAACCACACCATCATTACGAAGTACTATCAATTTTAGAAACAGATTTAACAGAATGACTTTCGTCAGTACTGTCAATCAAGCTCTGCTTGAAATAATAACCTTTGCCGTTCCAAAAGTCATCTCTCGCACAAGCCCAGCAGTACCTAATTTCTCCGGCCTTAACTCCTCGAAACGAGGTACTATTCTTCCATTAGTAGCTATAGCTATTAATTCAATTTCAGGTCCGCCGACCCATCGTACAGCAGGCAAATTATGAGCCAGTAAAAGGTGATTGGCTTCGTCATCAAAACCCCATTGGCATATTGCTAATGTTGCACCGCTGTCTTTAACCTGAAAGTACCTTTTGATTAACGAAAAAAGAAGCAATGCAAACAAACCATTTATATAACATTTATTTCTACAATTATTAAAACATTCAAAAAAAAATATAATAAGAAAGCCAGCCGACAAAAAACTGAAAAAAAATCTCTTTCACCGCCGAATCAAAGAAGTGAAAAAACTGATAAACAATTTTAATCAATGTAATTCACTGTGATTTAAAAAAACTTGTAAACCCCTGTCTTCCCAAAATTGTTAACCCCTTTCCCTAAAAACAATGTTATATCAAAAATGTATACACAAAAGCATACCTGTTTAATCATCGTTTCAAAAGTACTCCTTTCATAATCACGCAACTTCTTAAAATCCTCCTTGGATGTGATGTCCAACTTATGTTTCGTTTTCGGTTTTGGGGGTTCGAATGGACATGTAAGAATAGCCAGTTTAACATCTTTCAATTCCTTGAATTTTTCGAAACATTATTTTATTAGAATTAACGAGTACTGCTTAATTAAATCAAAAAACCTTAAACCACTTGAAAAAAATGAATTAAAAGACAGAAATCGCACAAAATCGCTATTGAAATCTTGACAGCCAGATCCGAAAGAAATGATTTCTAATTGATAAAGGATATACAATATTCAAAAAAAGCGAAAAATCAAAAAAACATCATGATAAAAATATGATAAGAAGCCGAACGACAATAATAAACAAAAAAAA